GTTTCAAACTAGTGGGCATTACTGCTCCCTTGAGGGTGGCAAAAGACTCAAGGAGACACTGGAAGGCAAGAGGCAGTAAGGTGTTGGAAGGCAAGGGGACAAAAACTTCATCTTGAAACAAACAAACAAAAAACACACACACACACACACACACACATACACACACACACACACACATATACATATATATGGCTAAGCATATATAAATTCACCTTGTACATCACATCCCCGAAGTCGTACATAGGGGAGACCAATGCCGTAGACATTGTTGTCTGGAAACAAACAAACAAAAAACACACACACACACACACACACACATACACACACACACACACACATATACATAAATATATATAAAATACATACACTAAAAGGAGGTGGTAACCTTAAAAGTTTCGGAAGAACAGTTTTAAATTATTTGCACACTTCTGAATTTCAATCTTTAGTGTATAAGACACATACTGGTTTTGAGACAGGTTTTTAGAGAAAAATTTTATGCTGTGTGTTTTAAGCCAGAAAATACAGTACAGTCGACCCCCCTATAACACAGGTTCCTATAGTTTTGATTCCTATATCATGGCAAAAAAATTGCGACAGCATTCATACAAACATGCTAAAAAAACTCATATAATTCGGTAAAACGTCATCGCCGACTTGTGTCACGACAGGATTGGTCGAATCTAGACCAATAGCGGATATTGTACAAACCGTTGAGTTTAAGCGAGCAGTGGACCTACTAAAAACCATTTATTATTTAACGTCCATAAAAATTATATTTATATTAATGATGTCTCCAAAGTTCAGCGAATTTTTCGCAAAAAAAATAATTTATCAGGAAGCATGCGAGCGCCATTCGATGACAAGCTCCATGACGAAAACGAGCTTAAGCAATGGCGTAGTCAAACGGTGCACGCTCGGTAAGTAATCCTACAATTTTTTGTTTATAGCATAGTTTATATGGATTATTCCCAAAAAATTATACGTATTTTGGAAATGTTGAGTCAAATTAGTCTAGAATCGATTAATTTTATGGAAGAAACCTTTCAAACAGCCGTAGTCCATAAACTGCATACGTGCAGGGCTGTGATTGGCTGGACTCGTAGAAAATGGATTCATAAAAACCGGAACACATCTACCATGTTATAGGGGGGTCGACTGTATGTAGTTTATCTAATGTTAAATCATTTTATTAATTTTTTTCTTAAAAGAGGCAAAATTAGAATAATAATAATAGCTTGCTATTTGGATGCATTAAAACTTAATAAGTATAAAGAAGCTGTTGTGTATCAGAATTAACTTTGTGATTAATTTTACAGTTAATGGAATTTATTTTATTTAATTAAGTAAATTTTATGAATATACAAATAAATTAAATGAATTTAATGAATTATTTAGTAGATAATATAATACAACATAAAAGAAGTTTGCTTAAAGAATAGCTTTTTAACTAACAAATAGTAATTACAGCTATAAAATAATATCTACAAAGTAAAACTTTGATAAAGAGAATAGTTAAATTAAGAAAGATGTAAAAACAACAAGCCTAAGAACTTGCAAAAAATTAAAGAATTAGCTCAAATTGTGTAATTATCATTTATTTTACTTTATTAAATATTATCTTTACTCAGTTTCTTTATACTAATTAGAAAGTAAGGTAATTAATGAATTAAAATAACTGATATAAATGTTAATTTTTTGAAATAATCTAATTTTTTTTTTTTAATTAAAGATTTTCGTGCGTGCCCAATTTGATTACAATCCATATGAAGACGAACTCATACCCTGTGCTCAAGCTGGCATCATCTTCAAAACGGGTGACATTTTGCAAGTGATCAGTAAAGATGATCATAATTGGTGGCAAGCAAGAAAAGAAGGAACTGATTCAACAGCCGGTCTCATTCCTTCTCCGGAATTACAAGAATGGAGAATAGCTTGTCTAGCAATGGAAAGATCTCGTAACGATCAAGGTAAAGAATCATTAATGATTTATAGTAATTATAAGTATTAATATTAAATTATANGTAAAAACAACAAGCCTAAGAACTTGCAAAAAATTAAAGAATTAGCTCAAATTGTGTAATTATCATTTATTTTACTTTATTAAATATTATCTTTACTCAGTTTCTTTATACTAATTAGAAAGTAAGGTAATTAATGAATTAAAATAACTGATATAAGTGTTAATTTTTTGAAATAATCTAATTTTTTTGTTTTTTAAATTAAAGATTTTCGTGCGTGCCCAATTTGATTACAATCCACGCGAAGACGAACTCTTACCCTGTGCTCAAGACGGCATCATCTTCAGAACGGGTGACATTTTGCAAGTGGTCAATAAAGACGATCGTAATTGGTGGCAAGCAAGAAAAGAAGGAACTGATTCGATGGCTGGTCTCATTCCTTCTCTGGAATTACAAGAATGGAGAATAGCTTGTCTAGCAATAGAAAGATCTGGTAACGATCAAGGTAAAGAATTATTAATGACTTTAAATTATTTTATAGTAATTTTTATTCTAATGCCTAATAATAAAAATTGTACTTAAGCCAAAAAGTTTGGCAAAATAATCTTAAATAAAAATCTTAGAGCTGTAATTATAAATTATAATTACAGCTCATTGAAAGGCCTTTATCAGGAACATAATGTTCCTGATGAAGGCCTTTCAAAATGGCCAAAAATGTTAGAAAATTGAATTAAAAGGCTGCATTATAAAGGTTTTTGTGTTGATGCTTGAATAGGAATACAATTTCAATATTTAGAATATTTGCATAAGGGTGCTGAGGAGAAGAAAATAAAATTTCAAAAAAGCATATAACAGCTATATATGAGCTATGTCAATTATAAAAATAAGGTACCAGTGAGCATGTTACTGGTGTACGTCTCTTACTAAATCAACTGTTACAAACGTTTACAAACTCACAAGTTCTTCTTCTGGTAAGATACAATTTTTGAACAAATGCGATTTAAATTAAATTGAATTGGAACACCAGCTGGAACTCAATCGCGTGGATGTCGATAACGTCATTTGGACACGCGCCGTATTATCTGTAGTAGTTTGGAAAAGAGCTTATGTTAAACTACTTATGTTAAACTGTATATGCTATTGTCCAAGAGCGTCTGCCAGGCTATAGATAGAGTGATTTCATCTTTATGGTTAATGCAATTATTGTCCTTAAGTGTAGCCATGTGGCTTGTCCAAGAGCTTACATTAAACTACTACAGATAATATGGCACATGCCCAAGTGATGTTATTGACATCCACGTGAGTGAGTTCCAGCTGGTGTTCCGATTCAATTTAATTTTAATCGCATTTGTTCAGAAGTTGTACGTTACCTGAAGAAGAACTTGCGAGTTCGAAAACATTTGTAATGGTTGATTTAGTAAGAGACGCACATTGGTAACAGGCTCATTGGTACGTTATTTTGATTTAATCCAGTGTAGTATATTCTATTATATCAATTATTGTCTCTGGACTGCTGAGCTGTAACAGTCAACAACATATGGAAGTGCTTGAGTCAGAGATCGATGCCTCGTTTACAAACAATACAACCCGTTTACAAAAAAATATATTGTTTGAAAGTATACATACATGATGAATCATTGTCATTCAGTCCCTTCACACGCTGTTGAGGTGGTAACAATTCATGGCGGAGTCGACCTTTTATTGTAGACTACTCAGCCACCATCTAATGAAAAAAAGTTAAAATAATCTTCTAGTGGTGGCACAATCATAAAATTAATAAGTACTTTTTAAAAAATTGCAGAGACAAATTCGCTTTTACGAAAAAAATATATTTTTTTTGTAAAAGTAAATTCATCCTGGCAATTTTTAAAATATACAACATAAACAATATAAATATAATATAACAAAATACAATAACAATATAATATAACAAAATAAATAATATAAATATATTGTTTATTAGACAATTAACTTACAATAAAAGTGCTGTTGTCACAAAGGGTTGAAGTCCTTGTATGTATCCTTATATATGAAAGAAGAGGAAAGTCCAGTGATGAAAGTGGTTTCCTATCGCTGATCAGATGTTGCATTCTAAGACCAGTTCTTGAACAGGAAATAATGTCCAGTGAATGCAGATCAGAATTTTTAAAGTTTCTATCAACAAAGATCTATAAATTTCGAAGGATACATTGGCAAAGGACAAAGACGGAACCTTGCGGGAAGCACTCCAGCGAGGGACATAGCCTTGTAGGACACCATAGCAAAAAACGAAGTGTCCTTGAAGCCTGGACTTAAATATCTTGTGGTCTTGCAAATCATTACTTTATTGGTTATTAATCCCCTTTCTTGGTCTCCTATTGGCCTTTCTCTGTTACCAGGTGAAATTGGAAATTGGACCAGATTGGTTTTTGAGAAAGACGATTGTTTATTAATACAATTCAACATTGTCTTTTGTTTCATGTTGAATGAACATTGCACTTAACTAACATTTTCTTTTTTTGTTTGTCTTGTCTTATAAAGAACTTAATTTACTAATTTTTCTCCTTTTTTTTACTGCATGGTTTTAAATTTAAAATAATTTTATTTTCCTTTTTGTTTTTACAATTTAGTTCCCTTAATTTTAATTAATTGTAAAGATCAAGATTCGTTTTTGTTTGGATATATGGTTAAAAGGATGTTTTTCATCCCAGTCCAGGGCTTCATTTGTTTGAATTTGGACACATTCAAAGCAGACACTTTCATTTCTCCATATTTTGTCTTATAAAGATGTTTGTCAAAATAAACTTAATCTTCATTTAGTTTTTTTAATCCCAAAATCTTTCATTTATATGTAATTTAGAATTTCATTTTAATTAAAATTATTTTACTCTTTTNTAATAAATTAATTGTTTTTAATAATTATATTTTAATTATTAAATTATATTTGTTTTCAATTGAAATAAATAAATGTCTTTATGTTGTTATTAACAACAACAATATATTTTTACATGGTAATCATTTTAAAGTTTTAGTTAGATAAAAGCAATTTTCTTTTGTTTTCAGGTGCTCATGGAGTTGGGAGACGACATATAAAAAACACGCTTATTAATAATCATCCTGACAAATATGCATATCCACTTCCATGTAAGTTAATTTTATTCAGTTAGATACAGTTGGACTTTCATATTGCAAAGTTCTATGTTACAAATTTCAATTATCAAATTTTTAATGGAATCTTCTTTTACATTTGATATTATCTATTTGTTTAATATCTTCTGGACTGGGGGTAAGTCATTGTGAATGTGTGTGCAGATGGGTTTTTTGGTCATTTTCAAAAAATCATAAAAAAAGAACCAATATTTGTCATGATATTTTGGGATTTGTTTCTTTGTACTTTTATTAACATAAAACATTTAACAGAATAATCATTAAAAAGAAAAAATGTTTAAAAAAAATCTGATATAGTATTTAAATTGGATTAATTTTTTTTNTCTAAAATGAAATGTTTCTTCCAAGTTGTTTTGGTTACTTTTTAAATATTATTGATGTAAAATATAAATCAAACTGTTGATACAGGTATGCACTGCTTAATAATGATTACATATGTGATGCAGGTCCCATAAGATTATAATGGAGCTGAAAAATTTGTAATTACCTGCATCTTTTCTGCATTTAGATACATAAATATAGTAGAACTCCAATTATCCAAGTACTGATTAAGCAAATGTCCAATTATCCAAATCACCACTTGACCTCCTTTCCCACTCCCACTGACATCACACTGCATCTATCTTATGTCATGCAACTGAATAATTAGTTACATCTATTTGCTGTGACAGATCTAAATGGTCAGTAGGATGCTACTTGCACATTGACAAATAAATAAATACAGTACATATACAATACTCTGCCATTAACCTGTAATTTCATTCTTTACATGCTAATCCATTTCTTTAAATTTTCGATTATTCGATTTACCTGCAGAATGAATCAGTTCAGATAATCAGAGTTTTGCTATACTTTTTGTTGTGTTACACATATCCTACATGAGTAGTAAGTATAGTATAGCATATAGGTTTGTCTAAGTGCTTAATTATATGATATATTTATCAAATGTTTCTCATCATTAAGCAGTGCCTACTTATAGAGGATTGACATTGAAAAATTATTAAAAATGAGTATAAATTTTAATTTGCTCCAATTTTTAATCAAACACAATGTAAATTAGCATGCTTTTTTTAAAAAATAAGGGAGGAGAATTAAAACATGATTGAAAAGTTTACTTTAATAGAAGGAAATAAATCCTAAGATATTGAGAAAAAGTTTTAAAATAATTAAAATATTGAAGTGATCATTTTTGAATTGTATAATAATAGAAAAATGGATAATCCAAAGTATATAAAATAATACCTCATGATATAAACAGAAAATTAGGTAGGCAGACAGGATTATCTTCTTTTTAAATATATAATACAGGGTGGTCCACTTATCATTTATAATGTTCCCAA